GGGAGGGAAGGAGGGGAGGAGGGAAGGAAGGGTGGAGGGAGGGAGGGAGGGAGAGAAAGAGAGAGAGAAGGGAGGGAGGAAAGGAGGGGGGAGGAAGGAAGGAGAGGGAGGAAGGAGGGAGGGAACAACTACAGGAGACCATGGAGCAAGGAACTGGGCAGAGGCAGGCTGTGTTTGCAGGATTTCTGAACCCAAGCTTCTGTTGTTCCCAGTTGTTTGTTGAGACTATAAGAAGAAACTGGCATTCAAAACAGAAATCAAGGAGAGGAGAGTCAAAAGAACTGAAAATAGATGAAGAGTCAGAGCAGGATTGGCAGGACATGCAGTTTCTGAAAAGTGCTTACAAAGACTGTGCCATTGTGCATGACTGAGAGGCGGGGACAGGCCCCATAGCTTGGTGGGATTCTCCACCAATCTCTAAACTCTTAAATACCACTGGTTTAGTGAGATTAGGGGATTGGGGGGTGGCAAACAAGGACTCTCCCCAAATCACAGGACAAAGCGATGAATGAAGGGACCTGCCCAACATGTGTCAACGTGTGTGTGTGTGTGTGTGTGTGTGTGTGTGTGTGTGTGTGTTCCTGTCTTTGTAGCACACATAGCCATCGGTCTATTATAGACTTTAATTCAGGATTTGGGTTTTCCTTACAGTTCTTAAACAGAACTGGGAAGTTATCTAAGGAAACAATGTAAAAGCTGCATAAGAAAATTACAAAAAGAAATATGGGTTGCGGGGTTCACTACTGTGAGTCAGGTAGGCAGCTTGGAAGGGGAGCACTGGCTCGACCACATATTTTTAGTGACTTTCTCCATAGTGACCAGTCAACCTACCTACAATTTCCCTTCTCACAGAAACTCAACACTAAGCAATGCATCAGTGTTTTTCTTCTATCTTCTGCCCATGACAGGTTTGGCTCATAGGCAGGACATCCGTGTGACACTTTTGGGGATCATGTATGCTTCCAGATACTATTTCCACTCTATGGTTGTGGGTTATAGGATTAATAAACTACATCTTGCCCTGAGGTTGGTTTTCCATCTGTGAAATGGGACAGTAATTGCATTCTTTCCTTTGCATTTTGGCCACACTTACTTCAAGTATTCCCCCATCATCCATAGGAGGTTCCCTCAGGAAATACCCTTCCCATCCCTTCCTGTCTGATTTTGTTTCTTTGTTGCTATGATAAAATACTCTGATAAAAGTTAACTTAGGGAAGAGGGCTTTATTTGGCTCACAATTCCAGTTACAGTCCATCATGGCAGACAAGCCATGGAGGCAGCTGCTTGAGAGAGACGGCCACACTGCACCCACAGTCAGCAGCACAGAGCAATGTGTTAATGTGTTCATGCTAGGACTCAGCTCAGTTTCTCCATCATGTAATCCAGGATTCCCCACCCAGGGATTGGTGCTACTCATAGTGGGGGGGGTCTTCCCACTTAATGTAATTGTGGTGCTCCCCAGAGACATGTCCACAGAGACATGCCAACTTAATCTTGATAATTCCTCACAGAGACTCCCTTCCTATGTGATTCTATATTGTAAAGCTGAAAATAAAATTAAACATCACACTCCTTTTACCGTACAGTCTCCTAGCTGCTTTCAACTGGCCTTCACAGCTGCCCTGACAGTGACACTTGATGTCCACTTGTCACAATGGCAACAGGATAGTCTGCTTCACATCAAAAATGAATGTTCCCTGAGGTGAAGAAGGGTCTCTACTTGTTTGTCGTTGCAGTCTGTACCCATGCTGTCCTTGGGTATCTAAACACTATTTGGAGATCTATTGAGTGTCCTTTAAGGAAGCTGAGGATCAAGTGGTTGAATATAAGTTTATTTTGAAATGTTGGGGGGCACCCAGGGCTCAGGGACCATTGCAGAAGAAGGGGCAGAAAGATTGCAAGAGGGTGGTGATTGACCACAAGGGAACAGAGTCTCCCAGGCTTCTGGGAACTTATTCATATGAACTTACAGCAATGGTGACATCATGCACAAGACCCATGCAAATTCAATCATACAAAAGCCCAGCATAGAACTGGGGAAATGGGCATCAGGCCCAACATTCACCAAGGAGCTATTGGCAATTGATTACTACTAGGTGAAGGAGGGTCGATCTTCTTTAACAGAGTGACTTTAGATAGACTGACTGGACCCCAGTGGATGAACTTGTGTAGAGGGCCGTCTGGGTACACAAGGTTGGATCGATAGGCCTTATCGTACACAGCAGAATCGTGGAATCTGCAGGCAGGCAGAGGGTGGTGCAGATAGGGGAGGAGGGCTCCATATGATTAAGATGTATTGTATGAATTGCACAAAATTTCAATTAAAATATCCTTTGAAAAAATAAAATGATTTAAAAAAATATAAAAAAAATAAAACGTTGTGAGGATTTGTAGAAAATGGAAATTTTCCCACTGTTACGGGAAACATAAAATGCTGTAGCTGTTTTGGAAAACAGAAGAGAGTTTCTTCAAAACATTGAAATATAGCTACCATAGGCTCTAGTACCTAGTTCCTGTGTATTTGTCCAAAAGAATTGAAATCAAAATCTCTGAGAGTTGTTAGCACGCCCTTGTGTATTGTGGCACTATTCACAGTATCCAAGATCTGGAAACAACCTCAATGCCCATAGTCACATGACTGGGTAAAGAAATGGCATGTAGATGCAATGGACTATTATTCTACCTTTTTAAAAAGGAAATTATGTCATATGTGACCATAAAGATGAACCTTGAAGGCACACACTAAGTGAAATAAGTCAATTTATTACTTTTGCTGGTGTGATAAAACACCATGACCAGAAGCGGCTTATAGAAAAAAGAGTTTATTTCAGCTTAAGGTTCCAGAAGGGAGTCTGTAATGGCAGGCAAGGCCTGGTAGCAGGTGGCACCAGGATGCTGGAGGACACATCTTCATCCACAGGCAGGAAGCAGAGAGGGCACCAGAAGTGGGGTGATCCGTCTCAAAGCCCGCCTATAGTGACATAATCAATCCTCTGTCAAGTCTCCATTTCCTAAAGTCCCACAACCTCCCCAAATGATGCCAGCAACTGAACACCAGCTGTTTAAATATGTCACCATATGGGGGATAGTTCTCATTCAAACCACCACAGCCAGTCACAGAAATACAGAATAATTACATTTGTATTCTAAAGTAGTTAAATTTATAGAATCAAAAGGTAGAAAGGGGATGGGAAATAATGTGAGATATAAGGAGGGAAAGCTAGTAAGCAGTTTCAGAAGGATGATTATGTTCTAAATATTTGCTGTCCAATATCATACATGTAGTCAGTAATACAGCGCTTTTAGGAGGAGAGATCTTATGCATTGGTGAAAAGGAGAACAATCTTAAGGGAGGAAGGATAGTAGAACACAGGGGCTATGAAAGGGAAAGTGAAATAAGGAGGAGAGAGTGTTAAGTGGGCAGGAGGTGGGAGGAGAGGGTAGGAGAGGAGAGGGTCAATTAACACCGAGATGTTTGAAAAAGCCATAGGGAAACATACTAGTTTAGGTGTTATATATGCATATACATATATATATATATATATATTCTTTTAAAGTCTTGAATTGGAATTACCTTACACAGGGAATAATGCTCCTCCAAGAATTCATAGGTTGCCAAATAAAAGCCCAGTGCCAGATGTGGGATACCTTCCTTCAAGCAAGTTATTGGTCAAGGCTGTCCTAGAGAGCCCTAAAACCATACAGGATGTTGTTATTGCTCCTGGTTGCCCACCAGAATTGATGCTAAGACCCTATTGCTGAAGATACTACATATATTCATCGCAGGGCAAGGAGAAATGAAGTTGGCACTGACCAGGAATCTTCCTCCCTTTTGGCCGACTTTCATAGTACTAGAAGGTGTTATGCAGGCTGCTGGAGTAGAAAAGTCATCAAGTCTTGCGCAGCTATACTGTAGACTTCCATAGTGACCTGCATGACAAAATATACCCAGGGATACAATAGTGGCAGGAATGTTATGGGGGTAACCAGCCCCTTTCTGATTGCATTTAACCCCCATTCCACAGGAGGAAACTCATGCCTGTTAACACAAATATGGCCAATAACTCAGGTCTGAGTAAACTTGAAACTATGGCCAGGAAAATCCTTCATGAAGGTAAAGCAATGCTTGATATTTCTGTTTTCTGAGGACATTCCGGACTTCCTTCTCTTCATTTCACATAATTAAACATGTGCTCTTTCCTCTTTATTAGATGAAAGGCCTCATTCTCTTACACATTTTCTAGCTCCACCTTTTATCCCTGTCTGAGGAGCTCTTGTTTGCCTGATGGGTGGCTGTCATCCCTGGTCCACTGGGTGGAGCTCATCTACAAATATCTCTAGTCCTGAGGATCAGGTCTGTCTCTATCCTTCCCCACTAGTGAGGATGGAGCCATGAGGGTATCTCAGCTAGAGACCCAGAGTTCTCAGGGTGGTTTACACTAGATATGGACATAAACTTGCGAGTAACAAGACTATTTGCAATCTTAATCTAAGAAGCATAGACTATTAATAACAGTCTAGCATTTTGTTCTCCATAGGCTGGTTGCTTGCCTATATCCCAATCGCTTCATAGTTAGCAGGTGCTAACTATGGAGCCAACTACAGACACATGCTGACCTACTCAGTTTCTCCCGTTTCTTGACAATGCCTGACACATAGTAAGGACTCATTTGGAGGAATGAATATTTTCTAACATTTGGTGAATGTTTACCACATGGATGACAGTGGTCCATGTGCTATACACACTTTGTTTTCTTGCTTTTCACTTTTGTCTCATAACAACTCCTTAGTGCTGAAATCAATATTGCCACACTCTCCTGGTACAGAGAAGGAAATGAAGGAGCAGAGTGTTTCTAGAACTTGCCCAGAACCATACCTCAAGAAGTTAACAGAGGGGAGATTTGACTCTCACACCAGCTTGAGTCCACTGAAACACCTTTCACTACTCTGCTCTAAAGCACCCACGATTTAATAAAATATCCGCAGATGTCATTCCCTTAGGTTTTAGTGCAAGGAAGATATGCACATGCTCAAACACTTTTGAAGAATCACAGCTAGATGACATAGGAATTGAGGGTGAGGACAGTGTCCGTTCATGTAGTGTAAGTTTATTTTCATGCCCAGAATTATGACAAATGTAAATGGAGAGAATAATCTGTTTTATATTCATTTATTTAAAAGTCGTAAGTAGAAATAACAGGAGATCGAAGGCATCTATAAATCATCACATCTCGGAATAACGGAGACAATAGAAACTGGTTTGTCTGAGAGAGAACCCTCGACTCTGCTCCTTTTAGAGACATATTCTGGGGGTCACATACAAAGCTGTCCTATGTGCAGCTACATCCAGGCTGTAAATAGCCCCAAACACAGCCAGCCACATCACCTCAGACAAAGACAGCAGCATCACTTCATGGTTGAGCAGGACCAATTGGCTGTCAAGCCTTGTCCCCTTCACCTTCTAGTATTTCCTCTCCTTAAAATTCTCTCATCCATGCCAAACGTTGTTCCAATCAATCTTCTGAAATGACCCAATGGAGTGTGTTTAACTGTTACAGCGTAAGACTGAAAAAAATTCAAGAAGCACCTAAAAGCTCCTTGACTCAAGACTTTAACATTGGGCTGGAGAGATGGCTCAGTGGTTAAGAGCACTGGCTACTCTTGCAGAGGACCTGGGTTCAATTCCCAGCACCCACATGGTGGCTAAAAACCATGCATAATTCCAGTTCCAGGGAATCTTCTGACCTCTGCAGGTATTGCATGATATGAGTTGATATGAGCGCACTTACATATATGGAGACAACATGCTCATACACAAAAACAAAAATAAATAAAATATTTTAAAAGACTTTAACATGAAATTCAAATGAGTGAGAACCTAGTATATGCCATGTATCTTTAACGCATTAGTATTCTTTTAAAGTAATATGAAATCTAGAATAATTGTTCTAATTAAGCAAGTGAAGAAAGAAAATCTCTGGAAGGTCCAGTGATTTGTCTATATTTGACAACAAGGCCAAAATGTGTCCCCATGCCCTTCCAAGATTTCATGTTCCTTCCGCAGTAAGCTTTGTGGTCCAAACCATCAAGGACTTGTGCACTGACTCATCCATTCCAGTTCACCTAAGGTAATCCGGTGGCTGCTGAAACAACCTCACCTCATAATTCTTGGGCTGCCCATTTTCTGATACTGAGGCTGCAATCAAATCTATTTGTTGTTCCAACAAGGTTCTTGCTCTTTTCTGACCTTTAACCCTTAAAACATTCATAGCCAGCAAGTGTCACCAAGCCAGACAACTGTCCCTGGCTCACACAGACTTTCAGATAGTGAAGCAACTCAGTGCTGAATGTTGACTTGATAGTCATGAAAATCTGAGAAAACTGATATTGTTAAACAATGTTGGTGAGAGTGCTAGAGCAGTTAGCAAACTTTATAAAGATCATAACTGAACATTTAAACACATGGAATTTGACTGTGAACAATTTATCTTACAAATAACCTAGATAAGGGGGAGGAATTGTATATTGATATAATCATTGTAGCATTGCGAGAGCAGTAAGAATGTTGAACTTTCTGGTTAAAGCAAAGTTCATTTATAATTGTGCCACCCATGCTCCCACCTCCATGTACGTGCCATCCATGTGCCATACACACGTCCAGTTTTGGCTTCATTAGAATAACTGACTATGGAAACTTGGAAGCAACTCAGATGAAGATATGATAACCATTGTATGCACAGAGCAGTGATCCCAAGGAGAGAAGCCACAATTCCTCCGGACCTTCAGAGCAAAAGTCAATCTTCCAAAAGCCTATCCAGGCACAGTAAACACTTCAAGATTTCTCCACTTCCTAAGGGGCTGTGACATTGGGTTCCAAATTCTAATTCTGCTTCCCACCTGAGGGAAAAGGCAGGGAAGATTAGCAACAGACATTTCCCTAAGGCAGCTACAGCAGGTAAACAAAACACAAGGAGCCTGGCTTGGAGACCTAGGGGGTCATGTGCTTTGGTCAACACTGTTTACTCCAAGTTACCAACTCACCACTCACTTACTGGTCTTTGCTCTTTTGGCCCTGGCTGAGTCTGTGAAAATTAGTTCCTTTGCAAAAGAGAATCAAAACAATTGGAAGGGAGTAAATGACCCTACTCTAGCACAGTTCAGTTCCTTATGAATTCAAGAGCTGGCATGGCTTGCTTCTGGCATGAGGCTTTAAGTTGCATTTTATTAAGCCAGAAGTACCCAACCTACTGTCAGATAAGTGGATAAACTTGACCTTGTGGTTTCAGAACTCTCCTCAGCTGTGGAATGTGTGGCCTAGCTCCACGCATGGCTTCTACCCAGCATGTAATCTGTACTTCCTTCCTTTGGGAATCATTCACCAGAAAGGACATTATCCTCCAGGGACTCCAACAGCACAGGCTAGTTTCAGACTTCTAGACTATCTAGGCACTGGTATTAACATAAGCAGCCTGGCATACTTTATTAAAATAAAAGTCATCATATTCTATTAGCTATAGTTGCTTCATGTACCCAAACAGTAAGGATTATAAAAATAATTATGAATTTGTTTAGTATATATGATTGACTTTCTTCAATGTTTAAGCTTTATTTAACAAATTTACAATATATTGTGTATGTATATACACATATGCATATGTATTTTCTAAAACTTACTTTTATTTTATGCTTATGAGTGTTTGTCTGCCCGTGTGTAAGTGTACCGTGTACATGCCTAGTGCCTGCAGAGGCCAGAAGGGAACACTTGATTCCCTGGAACTGGGATTACAGAGGACTATGAGATGCCATAAGGGTGCAGGGAAACAAAATTCAGTCCTCTGCAAGAGCAGCAAGTGTTCTTAACTGCTGAGCCATCTCTCTAGCCCCATACATATGTATTTCATAAGTGTGTGTGTGTGTGTGTGTGTGTGTGTGTGTGTGTTGTGTGAAGTCCTAGTGTGCCTGCTAACACTGTAAACTTTTATAAACATTTAACTTACCATTTATTCTTTTTTGAGTTCCATATTGTTTTCTCCTTGAGAGGCTGTTTTCAGACATATATTTAAGTCATAAACACAAACTGCAGATAAGCCCTCTGCTTTAGGCATCTAAGGAGAAAAAGGGTCAGACAGCAGACTCTTCTGTTGGGGTATTTCACAGAGGTACCTCCTGGAGTCCTCTGTGTAGACAGGACTCTGGCTGTTGGTGTTATGTGTCTGTGTCCAGGGACCACCACGTACTGGGGCAACAGATCACCTCTAGTTCTGAGCAGATGGGGAAGCAACTGAAAAGGTTTGAATCTTGCTCCCTGCCTTATGTTGTTCTTGAACATATTATCAATCCAAATGCCATTTCATGATAGATGTAAGACGCTCCTTTAAATGAGGCTTGATGGAGAAGGCTGGGGCAGAACTTCCAACTTAGAATGTTATTTTCTGGAGATTTCAGTCATGAAATTTCACTCCAAGCCAACTTCAATGTACTAAGTCTAAGCATAAAGGTGGATGCTTCATGCATCTACTTTACCTTAAAACCAGAAGTCACTTTAATACCAATGTTTTGCACATGATCTCTAGACAAAAATCATTCTCTCACAAAAGTTTAATTCAACATTGGATTCAGTGGAGTCTTCTAGAATGTTTGGTCTAGTTTCCTTTCTCATCCAAAGGAAACTTTGTTGAACGTCCAACTTGTCTGTTCCCCATACTAAGTGCTTTTCATATACATTAAACCTTATTCAAATGTTGTGACATCCTTTATACTATTGCAATAATTCTGAGACCAGTGGTTACCATTGTTTACGTTTTAGAAATAAGGAAATTGGGGTTCAGAGCAATTAAAAGTACTACAATCGATAATTAAAACTAGGGAGAGTGCAAATTGCAATTAAATTCTGTTACTCTATAATTATACAAAGCTATAC